ATACCGTCTAGTTAACTAACCAGGGCCACGCGTGGACGGAGCCAGTGCACCTTACAAGTCTATCCAGAAAGTTCCAATCGAAAACCCTAAATATTCGACCGAATATGTTATAGAGCAGAGCAAGAGGAAAGTTATCTACTAACAATACTCACGCGATTTATCATCCAACAACGAAATACAGTGTAGCCGAAGTCAACGATCGTCGTCACATCACGAGTACCTCTAGGAATGTCCATGATTTTCCAAATTGAAGATAACATATTTTTATCACAGAACTTAGAGTAACCAACAGCAGAAGAGACAATCCCCATGACCATGAAGACCTAATTTTCAGTCACTGGATCGAATCGCCTAAGTAAACACCAGAACCCAATGTCATAGGCCTTGGCCTGGGCAACCTGGCAGTACTCAGCCCACAAGCCAATCATGGAATATTTTCTTTTTCATAAAGATTATTTTACCATGATTTGTTTGCCACACAGTCTGTCCTCAGACAAGTGTGAAATATAATATAATACATAGGCGGTGTATCCAGTCTAACGATAATGAATATATTCACTAACAAAGCTGGGTGCGTTAACAATTGGTAGTTACGCAAAGGAAACGCCGAGTGTGGTCGCAATCTGTTTTTCATCTAGTGTTTTGACCATGCGTTAAATCACAATGGAAGATAATAAAATCCGACGAACCGAAAGAAAACGACACCAATTGTTGCATGAGATGATGATGATGATGACCCAACCAGTTAGAAACAGCTGTCTAGTGCTTCTTAGCTGTTCAGTTCACGTTTCACCTGTTCTTTACACGAGTTTCACCACATAACCATATCTTCATTTCGTAATTGCCTAGATGTGAAAACCGCAAAATCATGGCCAAAGTTTAATCATCGTGCGTCAATTTAGGACAATGGTGACTAGGAGATACATCCCGTCTGATGTTCATCACACAAGAGGTGTGATGAAAAGCCAATGTTCTACGAGACTGCCGTACTCTGGCATATATAAAACCCTAGTATCTTTTCATATCACAACTATATTGTTGTATATTAAGTTTTGTTGTCGTCCAAAGTATGAGATAACTTTCAACATAACCGCCGGGTTATCGCGGGCCGTCTCTTTTAGTCTCAAAGGCTAAAAACGATCATGTTTAACTATTCCACTTTCCTATCGCTCGCTCTGTCGGTGAACGGCTCAGGGTCCACAGCTGACCCAATCTAACGCGACGGATGAACAAAGCCGCAATTGACCAATTATTGAAAATTGGTTTTCGTAGCTCGGGTGAAATGAATTCTATTTCACCTGTTCGCGGAGCTTGGCGATGGTGATGTCACCTCGGCTGGTGATAAAAGGTTTGCAAACAAATTGCCAAGCTCGGCGAACAGGCGGAATAGAATGAAGCCGCAATTGCTTATGTAGTTGACGAGGGTCTCTCGCTCTGTACACTCTCGTGGTACCGTCAGTTACGCTCTCTCCTGCCTCGTACCTTCGTCGCCGTACTTACTTGTTGGATCGCTTCTAGTCCTCCTGCACTATTGGGCAGCCGCAGTGCCATTATAATATTGACATCACCACACATTAAGGATCGGCATGTGCTGTGATCAACTCACCTGTCTCCTAATATTCATCGGAGAACAGCGTTCTATCAGGTTTGTAATGATAATGTGATGAAATAGAACAAACAATTTGTAGTGTATGATAAATTTGAGCTAACATGTTACCTGCAACTTCAAGTGGTGCTTCAAATAAATAGAACAACATACTACGCAGTAGATGTGGAAAGGATACTAAAGCCTACATAAATTACTTTTATAAAATTTGAGAGTATAAAATTTAATTGAGCGTCAGTTTTTTTACAACAATAGATTAGGTTGGGTAACCGGACTCAATGAACAATGAGAGATAAATCGGAAAAGAAGCGCGTTAGTGACGCGCGTCACTAACCCGTGTCTTGAGTAACTGAAGCAAAAGCTGGCGTACTTTACTGACTCAAAGGTTAATGACGCACCGGATAATAGACCTTTGAAAGGAATCAAGAAGCAAACAAGTAATTTTCAAAAATATTATTCACGAGAGATACGAAATACTCTCAAAATTACACGAGTGTTCTTGAATAGCACAACATTGAGCAGTATCTGTACATTTTAAAAAATAAACGAACCACACCAATCTCTTAAGGCCGTGTAGCAGTCACCCGCCTGCTTTGCATTAGCACCACACGCTTCTTTGAGCCACTCTTTGAAAAGCTCTTCGTCCCGCCTTAACAAGAGGAACTGGCCAAGAACTGTGTAGGCCTTCTCAAAGCCTTTGGCTTCCAGTCTTTCTCCCAGCTTCTCGCCAATACCGGGTAAGTCCGTAACCAACTTCTCTCCGATGGGTTCAGTGACGAAATTCCTGTGCTTTTGCGAGGTACTCATCTTAAGCGCAGTGGCCTACAGTGAACAACCTCAAGGTCACGGGAGTTCAGTTCAGTTCAGTTCAGTTTGCACAGGACAGCAGTGGCCGAGACCAATCGTGCGTCCATATATTTGTATTGTCAGCTAGTATCCTTGGCTTCCAACACTGCTCGTCAAAGGTTCGTTCT